GGACGGTGGAGTGAAGAGTTGGGATGGTCCAAAATTTCCAGATGAAAAGTTGAAGTCTCTCTCTCCTCTGGTCTGTAGCTCACTGACAAAGAGGGAAACAAAAATAATATATGAAAGTTGATGGGAAAATTATAAATGAAGACCCCTCAAATTTTTTTTTATATTATTAACATTATATTCTATAAAAAAAAGCAAAGGCATTTTAACACTTTCTCCCAATAAAAGAAAATAAACTAACATTTAATTTAAGTAAGATTCAAACTCTAAATCTCCATATAAATAGCCAGTATCAATTTCGCTAAACTACTATTCCTCACTTATCCTAAAATTATGATAAATAAATTAAATATTAATTAGGAAAAAATTTATTTTATTTTTAAAATTTTGGGTCACTACAGAATATTTGATATCTAATGCTAATGAATCAAATTCAAATAATGTGGAGTTTAAACAAAAATAACCCTTTTCAAAACATGTTTTGCATATCTTTTATTTGTGAATGAATTTGAACATTTTGATTTTCATTTTAAAATCCATTAACTCATCCCTATCTTTTCCTACTGCCAGCTGCTTTGGGCTAAACTCTATCCATATTTTATGGTAAAACAAAATTTAATGCTAGGAATTTACATTGATATGAGTTCTATGAATGTCTCAAATGCTTTCATCCACTAGATATTCGTGTTACAATTGTAGGATTCCATCAATGCTTGAAAATTCATGCTTGACCAGAATAAATGAAACGATGAGTAAAAATGGCGTTTTATGATGATGTCTTTCAATTATTTCTCAGCAACCATATGAATTGATGGATTAAGCTATATAAGGCATATAGTAAAAGACAGTTTTATGATCTCTCTGTATCTTTTACCAACACCTTCGGCAATCATTTGATCGAATCGACGATCTTTTTCCACGTCGAACATTCATTAGATGAAAGAAAATAGAATAGTACTCATCGAATCCAGATCTTCAGGCATTCGCATAAGGGGCTGTAAAAAAGCCACAGATACTTTTGAACACATAAATGGTTCAAATTTCATTCTCTAATGAAGCTTTTTTGTTTCAAACATCAGGTATCTTAAACCTTAATCCGCTTCAATTAAAACATTTGGTTAGTAGAAAAAAATTAAAAAATTTATCGGAGGGTAATCCAGATTAAGTTAGGCAGAAGATAAAGGGTGGCAAAACTTTTTAATTGCCATTTTCACATCAAAATTATCAGAGTAACGCCACCCCAAAAATCACGTTACAAACAGGAAACGTACGTGGAAAACTGTAATTCTCTGCTGTGCTGATGTGGCCTTCATGCCAGATTTTATGGGCTTATACTTATATATATATATATATATATATAAAATATTATTTTTTAAAAAAATCTTTTTTATAAGGTTTATTTGCCCATGCCCATGGATGATATTTGCTATGCTACTACCTCTTCTCTCTTCTATAAACTGTCATGTTTTAAAGTGATATGAAGGAATTTGAATATTGTCAAAAAAAAAAAGAGTTTGAAAGTATATTAACGAACACAGAACAACAATCAATACGTTGATGAGTACAGTTATTGCCAGGTAACAACAATGATTGATGAATGAGTAACCTCTGGCTGTAATGAATCTCGATTTTCTATTGATCAGATAAATAAGCATAAATTTTTGTGCCCTTAAAATGTATTAACATTTTATTGATAAAATCACATCAGGCGTCGAAAGCCAATGGCATAAAATCAATCACCCAAATTAGGTGTTTTATTTATTTATTTATTTATCTTTCCACAAAATCAATCCATTCACCTCTATCGAATTATATTCGCTTGGTTCTATCTATATCTTATGAGATAACCAAAGAATATTCGAGCCATATACACTTTTGCTTCATTATTACATGTATTTATCCCATCATGAAACTTTTGAAGCTTTTGGATAAATGCGACTAACCCAGGTTATAAACTGATGATAAATAACTTATAATACCTTAAATCCGAATAATCTTTTCTGTCAATATTATTGTTTCAATTAAATTTAAAGTGAAATTATAATAATATTGATATCATTGACTTTTTGACTGTCTCCAGGGCAGATTAAACAAAATATACATTAACTGCCAGGCCCAGGAGACAACCCGAACACATAATAATGATTTTGAGGCATAATCATCAAGTGTTGAGATAGTTTGACCCAATAAGAATAATAGTTATTTCTCTTATAATGCAAAAAATTACCAGGCTTTAATTATAAATACCTATATGAATAAGGATGTTGTCATCAGAATTCTTTTGGAGCGGTCGAATGTTTTACATTTGGTGGGTATATTATCTTGCCAGAGAAATTATTTGCTCAGCAATATGTTGAATATATAGCTAATCAAAACAATATTAGAATCAAATTTAGCTAAAATTATGACATGAAAAAAATTAAATAAAATTGAACTAGCTAGAAAGATGAAGATATTTAAATGAGACATCCATTCATCTAAATATATAAAAGGATGTTTTGGGTCAACACGTTGTATGAATCTACTTTTGTATCTCTTCTCAGAGTCCAAGAAAAAATGAAACAAGGCCATGTGATGTTAGATACTGCTCTATATGTATACCGGACGCAGATCAACAGGGGCATCATAAAATATAAAATGATAAAAATTTAAATTTAAACGCTATAAAATTTAATGTAAATTTATATTGCCCAAAAATAATAATATAAATTTAAATTTAATAGATTAAGAACTTAATGACTTAAGTGAAATATCATAGGCTTAAATTTTTTTTTAGAACTCAAATATGCTCTATTTTGAATCCAGTGCATTCAAAATTATTGGGGTAATGGGTGCAAATTTTCAAAAATTACAATGCACATGTAAATATCTCTAAGTTGAGTGGAGCATTTGCCCACCCTCAACTCTATCCAGATCCGCCAGTGTGTGTGTGTGTGTGTGTATGAAACATTTGAATTTCATGTATTTTTGTGTCTCAATTGTTTATCCCACGATGTCATCACTTTATTTTTAGAAGGGCATGTGTCATGTCACATAAAATTTATAAACTTCAACATCATATATAGTTCCCTTTCTATCTTTTAAGTGATATTATGTCTTCTTTTTTCTATATATAATTTGGTTTTTATACATATTTTCCTTGTAAATATGTTGAGAACTACACCCATTTATTTTGTTAACATTTTATATATGTATTTACCTATCTTTCACACTTCCAATTTGAACCACTGGATGGATAAGAAAATTAAAGGCACCAAATTCGCCCAAAATAATAATTATCCACCATTAAGTTTTATCAATGTTTTTCTTTCTTAAGAGCAGATGACGACGCTTATTCTGCATTAAACACCTAGAAAAAGAAGGCCTCAATTAATTCTATAATGCTTAACTCTAGCTCTTTGCTAGGCAAATCAATATTTATAATTTATCTGTTATCATTTTTCTAAAATTTTTATTGTAAAATTTCCCTTCTCGATGGATTTATATATCATCGAACACAACAATGGGGTATCAAAACAAAAATACAAACATTTAAAAAAAATAATTCAGAAATCATTTTCTATAATTTGACATCTTAAAAGGGTCGGGGCAAATGTAAACTGACAAATATTTGAAAAAAAACCATGAATCTTCAGCACAACGACGAAAATCAAAACCCGTTACAATTTTGACTTCAATTTTGAATTGAACAAAGCATACATAGGGATTGTTGAGAAAAATCAAACGTGTGATAAATGTGAAATTAGACTTCAATTCTGATAATATTGTGATGTTTAGGGGAGAGAGTGACACAAAATTAAGAATGTGCGTATATGTATATGGGCCCATTTATTTACTCACATACATTCAGTTAAACTGTATACTCCTGAGGATCTGAACTTAATTAAGTCATATAATCAATCACTTTAGACTCCATATTTAGGAACTGTTAGCTTATGGAATGTGATAAAAGGCCATCTTCCATCACTACACGTTTTTTTCATGGATTTGTGCCTGTGAACCATGCTAATCTTTTTTGTTTTCAATTTCATCGTTTTTTATTTGCCAAAGGACATGAATTTTGAGAACACGTTATTGCAGAATTTTTGTAAAGATATTTGTAAAGATATCAGAGAGGTTCAAACATGAAAGACTAATATAAGTCGGACTCATTTGATCTCTTTGTTTTGCTCCTTTTTAATAGAACAATCAGAAAAAATGTGGTTTAGTTTAATTATTAACGAATTAGTGTCGTTTTTGGGGTTTAATTGTATTGTATGCGGGAAACAGTGTCGTTGTAAAATTCTCTTAACATTCAATTCACTCTATATATCCTACTGTCGATCAAACCAAGCATGAAAGATCAGATGCAATCCTATCTTCATCTCTGAATACTAACGCTATTCTCGTTTCTCAATTTGAAATCTACTAATTAAAGTTTACTTTTACACTTTCTGAAAACATTGAAAGTTTAGAACTGTTTATATGACTGAACCATAAAGAAATCTCGTTCCAGTAACACATATATCAGCATGACCTTCAAGCATTTGAATCTATATATCGATCCCAAGTTCGAAATTCATGTTCACTTGCGCCTGAATTTTTTTTTTTTGGGGCAATCGTGTCAGAATTGTTCAAATAACAATTTTTCTTGAAGATCAATCGAATCATCAATACGTGCATTACATTCATTAATTGAAATTTAGAGTCTGAATTCTGAAGAGATCGATATATATGCGCACGCACACAAGAAGAGGATAATGCCCTTTATTATTATAATCATAATTGAAAACACACAATCTCAAAACAAATTAAAAATGCAGAAAAAAGACATGAAACCAAGAAACGACATTTAAGAACTCATCGACCACACCTATCAGAGTACGCCGAGAAACATCAAACACTAAAACATAGACGACATAACAATAAAGCATAACCAAATCCTTGAAAGGCTAAAGAAGAGTCCGACAGCTGAAGTTCGGACATAAACTGGGCATCCTCATGCGAGAGAGAACCTCAACACATCAGTAGTATCCTGATCCGCTGTGTTCTCCCATGTTCTGATATTGCCGGAATCCTTGGGTTGCCGGTGGTGGTGGCGGCGGCGGCGGCGAGAGCATCATGTTTCCTTCGAACATCGGATTCTGAATCATCTGATGAGGTAGTGGCATCGGAGGTTGCTGCGGGAGTACTGTCTGCTCGAAAGGGGTCGGAAACACCTGAGCTGCAGGAGACGCTGCCATCTGCATTGGTGGCGGCTGAGGCGGTGGAGTTAGCTGGCGGCCGGAGGAAGAGCTGCCAACATGGAACTGAAACGGTTTATTAGCATTTGAAGCCATGTGGAAAAAAGCATTATCAGCTCGACGCCAGAAAGTCTTCTTCATCTCCTCCAGACTTGCCTTCAAGGTCACAAGCTGATCTTTATTGAGCGTATTAACTGGTTTAGCCCACCAGAACTTGTTCTCCATCTCCTTCATCCTCCTGTTGAGTTCTTCCCCGCGCTTCTTTTCCACCTCAAGCTCTTCCATAACCTGAGTGAGCTGAGAGTTAAGCTCCTGGACGGCGGCGTTCCGGTGAACCTCCATCATTTGCATAGGAGCTGATGGAGGTTGTGGTGGCACGCCACCGTTCAGGAAACGGTCCAGAACAGCATCGACACTCGGATGGCCAAACGAGAAGGCCTTGTCGCCGGGAGAGAAGACGATTAGGGCAACCTCGACGCCGCAGAGAGTGCAAAGCTCACTGGCCTTCTTGAAGAGACCAGCTCGACGCTTCGAGAAGGTCACTTGCAGGTTGCTTTCGTTCTCCATCTTCTTTATCTCAATCCTCTGGCGACCTTTGCTCCTTCTCCTCCTCCCTGCATTTGTGGTCGACGACGACGACATGGCTGATGAGATTGACCTGCAAATTCACAAGTGACAGAGAGAGAATGAGATTGAAGAGAAAGAAGAAGCAGTGTGTGAATTGGTGCACAGAAATGGATGGAGATGGGGTTAATTTATAGGGCTTCTGTTTTTGTAAGAAAAACCCTTTTTTTTAATTAGGGGTCATTAATTATTACAAATATTATAATTACATTTATATTTTTCCTGGGTTCAGATTTTTTTCAAAATCTCTCTGATAATGGCTATAATGGCATTGGATTCAATGTTATAATTAGGGGGGTGGTTTTCACAGGTTAAAATGGCATGAACTTTAATGTTAGGAAATGGTGACCATAATTAGACTGTTTAGTTTTATTATTATTATATTATATATTCAACCCTTACTAGAAAAATATGAAAATTCCACGAAATTCACTGAAAAATCTTGATCTTATCTTTTTCTCCCACACAGGGAAAAAAAAAAGATTAATTTACTTGTTGAAAGTGAAATTAGTAATAGGATTATTTTTTTTTTTGCATTATAAATAACACATCAAATTAAAGTAGTCCAAAATATTTTCCGTAACAAAATTTTTTTTCTTAAATTACTTTATATATTGATATTGATACCAAATCTCACGAAGTGCGTGGTTGGTTTCCTAGCTAAAAACATGTTCATACCAAATTGCTCATATTGTTTTGGTCAAAAGTGATCAACAGTTTCAAGAAATTAATCATTGTAGTATTACTTTTTGAAATAGTTCATCTATTTTCTTTTGTCAAATAAAACATTTTTCAACTAGCCCAGGCACTTGGATCAATTAGTTACGAGATATTTCGGCATAGTCAAGGGTTTTGAGTCGAGCTCTTTAAATATGCATTACCGATTAAATTCTTAATAGGAGGTATATGGCTCTCAAAGAAGCGCCCGCAAGCTATTAACAATATTAATTTGGGTCAAAGACTTAGGGTAATAGAGTGAAAGCAAATTAAGATTTCCAGCTCTTTTATTTAAATTTTTTTTACCTTGAATTTTTGTAGCTCTTTTCAAGTAAGCACCAAAGAAGCTATTGATTGAGAATAATGTAAATGATACTTCCTATAATAATATGTATATATGTTTATAGAAGTACAACAATGAGATAAGAAGCCTCATTCCAAAACATAATGAATTCCTTCAAATTATGAGTCTATGAAATAAAAAATGAAAAGATTTTCCAGAAAATTGATACGAGGTAATACTGTAAAGCCTACAATAGTGATTAACCAAAAATGTGATAATTTGTAGAGATTAACATTTGGTTTTGTATCAGAAGCTAAATGTGGAAAATTGGGAAATGTGGCATCTTTTTAGAAAGGGAATGATGAAGAAGACACCCAAACATTCCATTTCTGCATATAATGACCTTTTTTAGTTACAAAAATTGGAAAGAGATTATAAAAGCATTTGTAATATAACTTTTTTTTTTGGCTGGTTTCTATCTAGCTTCCACACACAATCTTTCTATTTATATATAGCTACTATTTTACATGTAAACAAAGAAGAAAATAATATATGCAATGAGTCTTTATTTTCTAGAATTAAACCCACTTGTTACACACACACACTCTCTATGTTATTATTGGGGCTTGATGAAATCAAAAGTCAACATTGGGATATAATATGAAATTATGGATGTCAACAACATGAAAGTCGCGTGAAAGACATGGTACTTGGTATGGTATACTATTTCAAGTTAATTTCAAAATTAATAAGATTTATACTCTATGTTGGGCTGTCAAGTGTAATGGACTTGATTTGACGTGGGACTTCCCACATTAAATAAAGTTGAGCTAGATAGAAGTATATAAGTGAAAAAGATCCATAAATTCAATATAATATCTTAAGATTTTATGTTAAAATGTTGTGTTATACTCACCTATATATATTCTCTTTGAACTATTAGATGGCTCAACTACGTTCTTCCCTCTTTTGAGGTACTCTTTAAGCCCAACATTCTAAAGCTTTGTACGTAATTATTGTCATAGATCTTTAGAGGTCTTAATTAAGGAAGAAAAATAGTTAAATCTCAAGACACTGAATTAATGACACTAAAGTCCTTAATAAATTTTTTTAAAAAAAATAAGGTGAAAATATCAATTTAGATTATTACAAATCCAGGTGTTTCAAATATACATAAGTATTTAAGTATTAAATTTAACTCTTAAATTGTAAAAGAAATTTCTGTTTGTATTTTTTTTAAATTGGTATTTATAATTTATTTTGTAAAAAAATTTGTCAGGGACCTAATAGTCATTAATTCTTTGAAATCTAACTGTCATTCTCTCCTTAATTACTGACTTTGTATCTACTTAATTTGAACTCCATAAAAGAAATGGTTATTCAAATCGAGCCTGGATTTTCGATTTTTTTTTTTTGCCAAAAAAGCCTAGATAACACAGTCAGTATGTATATTAGACAATTCTATTTATTCTATTGAAAACTAAGCTGAAAATTTTCAGAACATGCTATGAAATAAATTGAGTGGATTAATTAAGCCTATACATACAGTCAATTAATTAATTAATTATATATATATATATATATATATTAAAACTTTCGCTTGGTTCACGCCGGCTGGAACTTATTCTTACTCGGTCTCTTGAGAGAAATAGAAAAAAATAAAATAAAATAAAATAAAATAAGTAAATGACCGTTACTCCTGATCTCTCTTGAAATATTCTTTGAACACTGATTTGCAACTAAAAGTTGACTTTTCTTTTTTATACAACTGAAAATTGTTGATGATAAATGTGAAAAATGAAAAGACTACAGAGATACCATTACTCTAATTAATTGACACACAGAACAATTGATTAATTATGCTACAATATATTATTGTTTGGTTTTATGAAGATAAAAAAAAGGATCAGTGATGGGACTTAGCCGACCAATAGACTGTTCAACTCTGTTTTTTTTTTAATGAAAAATTAATTTTTTAATTCTTTAACTTTTAATTTATTTGTAACTTAATTTTTTAATTATAATTTACTGTAACTCAATCCTTTAATTATAACTTATTGCGATTCAGCCCCTCAACTTTTGATTCACCTATAATTCGATCTTTTTTTAATTTTTTTTAAAAAATTTCTTATCAAATAAGAGAGATAAAAAATACTGATATATTATTCTAAAATACCCTTCTCTTGCTCATTGATGTGAGATATAAACTAATATAAAAAAAAATTAACAAAAGTTTAGGGACTAATTTGTAAGTGATTCAAAAGTTGAGGGACTGAGTTAGAGGCAAGTTATAGTTGAGAGATCGAGTTACAAGTGAATTAAAAGTTTGAGAACTAAAAAATTAATTTTTTTTAATATTAAGACAAAAGTTAACATAAACATGATGATGTGCAGGAAACAGAAACCACAAAGCTATATATCTCATATGCATGCGGGAATTGTGACATATAAACAGATTAATTGATAAAAATAGACAGAATATAATTACATTGATAACTAAATCTATTCTTCAATAACCATGCATATTTACTAGTGGCAGAACCAAGATTCAGAATCAAGAGTGCGAAATAATTTTTTAAAAAATTAATAATTTTTAAAATAATAATTATTTTAGAACTAAAATTATAATAATAAAAAAGTAGATTAATCATCATTTTACATGATCTTTTTTATAAATATGTTATTAATTTCTTGTCTTGGTAATTAAAATATTATATATTTAATAAAATTTTGAATCCAAATATTTTTTACTTAATTCTAATGGTGCAAAATATCAAGAATAGTGCTGAAAAGTTTCAAAATTTACCTACCCTACTTGCACCCTCATTGTGAGTGGCTCCATCACTGACAGTGACAAAGCCAATATCCTAGATCAGGGGGATAAAATCATTTACATATTTATAATTTAAAAAAATAATAAAAAATATTTAATAATTACATACTTTATAAAATTTTTCTATGTGGTTTCATATTTTAAAATTATTGAACAATTAATTCATTATCAATGCTTTTAAATATATCTTTTTTAATATAAGTCATGAGACAATCATTTATCCATGAACTTCTCATTTGACTGCGCAACTGATTTTTCACAAGTTTTGTCACAAAAAAGGCTCTTTCAACTGTTGTTGTGGCAACAGGTAACACCATTGTTAATTTCAAGAAAAAGTAAATTAACGGATAAATAATATGTCTTTGAGTTTCAATTAATTTTTTAGCAAATCTAATTTAAAATTTCAAATGATGCAGGCCAAAATTTTTTTTTCTTGTTTTTTAAAGGTTTAATAAATGTTAATTTTTTATAAAATAATATTACTATTTGGATATATTAAAATTATGGACTAAAATTTATTGGGCTTTTTAGTTAAAAAAATAAATTTTAATTTGAGTTAAAAAGTCATATAAAATGAGTTTAAAACACAAAATATAAAAAAGAGAGGTGCAAAATATAAATACGCATACCTCCATCCTCATGTAAATAACGTTTTCCCTTTGAGGGGGGCATATGCCCCCTCTCACACTCACATACATGTGGCTTTGTCATTGACGACTGATATACACACACACACCATGAGAGGCACCATAAAGGTTATATATATATATATATATATGCACTATTTTGAATCTTAATATAAGATTAAATTAACAAATTTTGCACTTATTAAGACATGTTCGTTATAATCTTGAAATCGTAAAAACTTTCAAAATTTACTATTCTTTGTAACTGATAATCGCAATAGATTGTTGTTTAGAAATTTAAATATAAGAAAATTAAAAAAATATTAATTACTCTTACTTCCTCTTATACTTAAGACCAAAAAGGATTTATCAAATTTTGCCTTATGAGTGTGTGTTTATATATATTAAGAGTTTTGAAGACAGAGAAAAGGCTTCGAAGGTGTTCCCTTCAAGGAAAAACAGGAGTGAACGTACATGGCGTGAGCCGTTACTGATTGAGAGAGAGGAACAAATATGCACGTATGACAGATAAGACATAAGAGAGAGTAAAGCAAGAACCAAGAAGAGAGAGAGGAAGAAGAATTTTTTTTTTTTTTGGGGGACACGTCATCAATGACAATTTTAGTTGTGATATTAACTATTAATGAACAGAAATATTTTCCATAAAAAAATAGGAACAGAAATCTTTAACTTAATTAAAAAATTGTTCCAAGTTTGTAATTTGAATTTAACTTTGCTCGGATAATTTTTTGAATTCTATAAAATATGTAAACTAAAATAATAATGCAACCCTTTTTTTTTATCATTTTAAATAGTTTCTATTTAACATAGCTCTCATGCGACTTTTAAATTTTGTGAAACTAAAAGAATTCTTTTATGAAAACAAATTAAATAAAACCAAAGGAAAAAGTATAATTTCAATCTTTTAAATTGATACAAAGTTTTGTTAGTTAAAAAAAAAACTTTACACAAAGTTTCAATCTATTCTCTTAATTTTATTAAGTATCTTTTCACTCCTATAATTTTAATACCGTTAATTTCATTAACAAAAAATACTAACATTGCAATTATTATAAATGCTAACAAAAACAATTTCAAATGATGATCATGTAACTCATTTATTTTTATTTATTTAAATTAGACTTAACATGTCAATGCTTAATGATATTTTGTCTGCATTTAAAATGGAAATATGGGTATTTTTTGTTAATAAAATTAACCATGTTAAGGTCAGAAGATTGAAAAATATTTTATAAAATTAAGAGATCAAACTAAAATATAGTCTTATACTCCTTCCATTTAAAAATGTAAAATATTTTTTAAAAAGTTGAATGTTAAAAAATATAAGATATTTTTATTTTTTTGAAATGTAGTCATTGTCTTTTTTTGCAAAAGTACATATTGATAGTGATTTTATATTTATTATAGAGTATTTAATAGGGGATAGATATGAAAAAATAGGATTAGTTTAAAAATAGGTAATTACTTTATTAAAAGTTAAAATTTAATTAAAAATATCTTATATTTTTAAACAGAAGGAATATAAAGTTGGAAGATCAAATACGCATTTTGGTTGAAAATCAAACTATAATTAGAAACAAAATCTCATTAATAAAATTATATCTTATGAACAGTTTACTTTTAATCACATTATATATTAAAATTAGGGAAACTAATCCGTTAGTCTTTGTAATTTTATCAAATTTTGAAAGTCTTTTTAATTTTTTCCCATTTTATTGAGTACTTATAATTTACAAGTAATAATAGCATTGAGGGCTGTTATAACAGAATTTATAACATGAAGGGCCCAATGCATTCTGAAGTTGTACGAAAGGCCCAAAGCCCTTAAATATAATTAAATTTTAGCTAAGTATATTTTTAATATTCTAACTTTACATAAAGTTTCATTTTAATTTTTTAAAATATTTTTTTAATCATTTAATCTTAGTTATTTTTTGAATCAATCATTTTTAATTTTTAAAAAAATTAAATTTAATATATCAATATTTAAAAATATTTTATTAATATTTAAAAGTTTAATATAAAAATTTATTAGAATAAAATTAACAGTGTTTGAGTTAAAAAATTAAAAAAATACTCTATAAAGTTAAGGAACTAAAATAAAATATTATATAAAATTAAAAAATTAAATATTTATTTTAACCTTAAATTTTAAAGGTTAATTATACAAATGTCCTTGTTTGCTTTTTTAAAAAAATTAAAATTTAAAAAAAAAAAAAAAAAAAAAAAAAAAGGAACTAGCTACCGCGCGGGAGCCACCATTGGAGCTCCAGCAGTCAAAGAAGGTCAAATGCTCCAAGGGTCAAGAAGCTAAAATACATTTAGTTACACATTGCAAAATATTATTTATATATATATATATATATATATATATAACTTGTTTCAAGCATTTATATGAGTTTCTATTAATTATGAATATATTATTATTCATATTTAAATAATTATTTATAAATATTTAAACATGATTTGTTTATGCTTAAAAAATTATCAATTTTTAAAATCTAATATATTTAATTTTTTTAACAACTTATTCTTTTAATATTGACAAGTTATCAATATTATGCTAAATAAAAAATATATATTATAAAATTATTTTTTAACTTTTTTCAAGTTTGATTAATCATGGATAAGTTATTGTTCAGTTTTAAAAATTGATAATTTTTTTAAACAAATGTTTTAGAAATTGACAATTTTTTCATGTAAAACTAGATAAACCAAAAGCATATTTTTAAAAAGGCATTCATAAATGTGCCTTTGTAAACCCAACTAAACCGAATATTTACTAGATACTTCCTCTATTTAAAAATATAAGATATTTTAAATTAAATCTCAACCTCAATAAAATAGTTACTTATTTTTAAAATAACTCTATTTTTATATTTATTTTTATTAAATATCTTACGATAAATATAAAGTTACTATTAATAGAGACACTTTTGAAAAAAGATAATGATTACACTTAAAAAGATTAAAAATATATTATATTTTTATACATTCAACTTTTCAAAAAATATTTTATATTTTTGAATGGAGGAGTATGCTTTTGTAAAACATATTTTTAAATAATTTAGTCAAAAAGCATAATTTTAAATATGCTTTTGTCTCTTTAACAGTGGCTTTGGTGCCTGGGTTTTTTTTATAAAAAAATAATAAATAAGAAAATTTAGATAATTGACCTCTAAAATTTAATTATATTTAAGGGTTTTGAGCTCTTGATGCAATTTCAAAATATATTGAGTCTTTCATATTATAAATTCTCTTATATGAGCCCTCAATGCAATTCTCTCAATTTACAATTTACAATGTCAATAACATATTTGTAAATCCTTTAAATGTGGTTAGTTTATGTTATTTGACGTGATGTGACACTGAACAATCCTGACTAAATATATAAAAACGCGTAGCTTGAGAAAACCGAAAAATAAAAATAAAATTTCTTTAAATTATATAAACAATATTTATTATCTTAAAATGTTATAATTTTTTAAAAAAATTTAAAATTTTTTCTGCCAATAAAAAATTTATATAAATTATTAAATTATATTTAATTTAAACTAATGAATTACTTTTAAATTTTTATAATTTAAAAAATTTATAAATTTTAAAATAAAATTTGTAAATAACAATTAATATTTAAATTAAAAAATTTAATTATTCATATTAATTTTTTAATGATAAAAATTTTTGAAAAATTGTAGAGAAATTATGACATAAAAAATTAAAATATTATTTATTCAAGGAGTTTTTATTTCAAGTCCTCTCCCACTCTCGCTCTCACTCTTTGCGTTGAAGAAGCCAAATCACTTTTCAGCGCTCATCCACACATCTCACGAAAACCTCGATTTTGGTTGAGCATCCAATCCCTCACAAAATTTCATTACGATTTTAGTAACTTCCGGCTTCTAATAAAATAGTTAACAATATAAAAAATTACGGATACTTTACATGTTTACATTACATTTATATAATAAAATAACTTAATTATAAATAAATATAAAAAACCTTACCAATGAGAATTGATTATAATTAAAAGGATTAATCTCCCAATACATGATAAGCTAAAGTTCAAATCTATAATTTTAAACATAATATCTCTAAAAAACATGTCTTGTAATTTTAAGGGAGAGAGTAACAGTAAATTTGAAGGGCTTTGTTTTGAGACTCCTGGCGTGCAGAATTAGCGCCACGTTCTACGAGTCACCTTGCTAGAAATGGTATCATATGTTATATGTATAAATACCATCCACCCTATCACTTGTTCTTTTTTTTTTTTTTTTAATAGCACTTGTTCTATCTTTTATTATACATAACAAATAAAATGATGTACGACTAACCAAGTCAACCAAATTTAATAGATGCAGTCAACTAATCAATGACCCGAAGACTTTATATCATCATCAAAGTTGTAAAATCTTATTTATATTACCCACCTGTTATGTAAAGGGGAAAGTTACACATTACACAACTTTGGATCTCACTTTTTTATGGAAGAATATCATTTTATTTGTTTTTAATAAATATAATGAGTAGGTTCTATCAAAAACAGACAATATCACTCTCAAGATGCTAAGAGTAGTGAATAAATCTCTCCCAAGTAGATGGCCACATACATAGGGACTAAGATTTAAACCTTCAATTGCATAAATGATGTCAACCACTCACTTTTATTTTACATTAACGACTCTAAAGCTATCACAACTTTTTTCTTTTTTACCAAAAAGCTATCACAACTTTAATAATCAATTAATTTCAGAAAAGATCTTAAAACTACCACTATCTTAACTGATGCAATATTTTCTTTCCAAATGGATGCCATGATTATTTAAAATACGAGTTCTCAAACACAACTATACCATTGCATATCAACAATCAACAAATGATTAAATTTGCGTTTAGGCTTTGGGTGAATACGCGACTAGGTATCCGAATTAGATTTCTCAAAGAGGACAAAACGGAGTTATCAAAACTAGATAAACCAAAAGCATATTTCATCCTAAAACATAACACCAGACAAATGAAATGATAGCCCTTCTTAAAAGAACTTTCGTTCGTCAGGTCAATTGTACGAAGTTAGGAAAAATTACATACAAGTCCTATAGAATAAATTGATTAACAAAAAAGCCCTCTGAATTTGTAAAAATACATTCAAGTCTTTTGGAATTTGGTTATAACTTGTAATGGTGTAGAAAGACTACACTATCCTAACTTCATACCTATTCAGCAATAAATTATGGAATTTTAGCTGTAAATTCATGAGGACAAATTGTAAATATGAGAGAACCATATTTTTGTAAACTCATGTTTACAATTGGTCCTCACAAATTTATAACCAAAAAATCATAATTTGCAACTGAAATGCCAGAATTTGCAACTAAACAAGTATGAAATTGGAGTGATGCGGTTTCTTCACACCCATAACAAATTACAACTAGGTCTCAAGAAATTTGGCTATATTTTTACAAACTCACAAGACTTATTTATAAACAATTATTAGGGTCTTGTATGTAATTTTTCCAAGTCAGTTAAGCTAGTGTTTCCCAAGTCTCAAGAAACCTATTATGGATCTATATACAGTTCCTTCAACCAAGATTAGGAGGTTTCCTCTTGCACTTGCTCTGCGCTAGGCTAAGAAGAAAATCTGTAAATGTATTCTCATAATCTGGTAGTTTTCCATATCCTGCAGGGGGTAAATTAAGATAATGTTTATTCAGAATAGTAGCAATTGCCGCAAGTGCCATTACTGGGAACTCAAAACAAGAAATATTTAACAAGTTAATAAACTATATGCATACTAGATGAGATCTTGTATAATTATTAGAAAGCACATGCATACAAACAAATTATTTAGAGCTCTTCTGCCAGAAAAAGAAATTATTCAAGCATAGAAGTCAATCCTGCATATAAATGGCTCTGTCAGATCACTATCTATTGCACCATATTTGATTCGCAGACCAAAAGAGAGGGGGAGGGGGCTGGACCTTCAAGTGTGTTTCCCAATAACCATTACGGAGTCCATAACAGCCATAATTCACGAGATATCCAAGTTGTGGCGACTTTGGTTATTAGGGGGACTACCGAACCTAATCAAACCCTTGCCACACAAGTCTAGAGCTGGTAACTAAAAAGTAGAGACATGACTAATGGGGCTGTGACAAGTGGAGAAACTAATGTCGTCAGTATACTACCTCCGGGCAACTATCAAGTGTTTCCTAGAAATAGGTCCGGAAGTAGTATATGCTTCAAGGGTCGATGAAAAGGGTGACACAAGGAGGACCTTCAGCATTTGGAAGTAGTCAGAGGGAAAGCATTGAGAGAAAACGGCCTTAAGGAATTAGGAGAACTTTTTGGTGGAAAAATTAGGGAGTACTGGCCTCTTGAAACCAGCTTCATGTTGCTTCTGTCTCTTCTTGCTGTGTTGGTGTCATGGTGCTGAGGTGCTGTGTATAGGCTTATAGCAACTCATGAGATAAGTTACAAGCATAGTGAAACTCTTGATAAATCTTCTAGTTCAACACCTATTACCTGAAGCCACTTTCACTGTTGCGTCTCGTCTGTTATTGACGTGTGAGTGTGAGTTCCTGAGGTGCTGTGTGTTGGCTTACAGCAATTCTTGAAATATTTTACAAGCTTAGAGATATTCTTATTCAGTCTATATCACTCTTTTTAATTACCTCGGGCAAGCTAATGCTTGAAAGGGCCAGCAGGATTAAACCGGCAACCAGTCACCAACAAGAGTGAACTTTACGCCACTAGGTCCTAAGGCCATTCATTTTGAGTTTCCTCTGCTGTTTGATATTCCATTTGTCCTCCCTGAGCTGTCAGCGAGTGTTGCATTGTACGTGGTGTTTCTGTGACATCGGTAAAGTGTGTTCTGTTGATCTACAGAGTATTTGTGGTTTCAAAGTGTTGTAATTATTTTGTGTTGAGAAAATATTTGTGTTTCACTCTCCACACCCCTCCCCAAAAAAAGGTAGCTTCTTGAGCTCCCTACTTCCTTGTGGTATGCCCAGTAACATCATCAAGAGGTCTGATCAGTTACCCAACATCCAAGCTCGGTATAACTAAATTTCACACTAGTTTGCGGCCACAGCCTTTTTTCTCTTTATGGGTACTTGACAGTATTGAAAAGTAAGCTTAGACTTCTCGGCAAACTACCCGAGCCCACCACCACAATATGGATGTGTGCATATCTCTAAAAATCTGGACCTTCAGCTTAGATTTGAACAGTCCATATCTTACTATTGTTCATTAAATTTAAATTTAAACTTTTTATTGTAAATAAAGCAGGTGTAAAATATCAATCTTCTAACTATGGAGTTACAAAATTAATGCTTCAAATTAAAATGTTACAAAAAATAAGATAAGGACCAACTAAAACAAATTTTAGATCTAAATGAGATTTACACCAAGTGCACATCCCTAAGGGTGACACTAAATCCGGAATACTCAAACTAGATTACCTTTTTATATTTAGTGAATGTGATGAAATCATATAACCTAACGCTTATTACCTAATTAGTTTGCGTGTGTCCGTAGAGGGAGAGATACTCACACACACAATTAAAAACTTCTAACTTCATTCTAACTTAATTTTCTTATACAAATACCAGTGACGAGCATAATTTTAGTTGAGTTCTGACAAACAGAGCAAGTTTTCAGTAACAAAACTGCGAATTATCTTTATTAGACCTAAACATACAGTGCGCAGACCCAAAAAAAAAAAAAAAAAGGTTCAAGGAGATAAATGAGGAAATCCCTCTGACAGGGTTGAAGGCTGTAGGAGAATACAAAGAATCAGCACCATAATTCATAATAGATTTGTGATAACAACCAGAAACAATATAAATACAAAAAAAAAAAAAATGTACTTGCCAGGAAAGTAGTTGATATCAATAACATAAAAGGTATCCTTGGTCCCATGCTCACGAATCATATCCATGTTGAACAAGCGGAGACCCTAAACATGGTGGTGCAGTTACTTTAAGTTTATCACTGAGGAAAGAAATAGACTGTCGCAGCAAATGGAAGTAAAACAATGCAAAATTACCAATCTGTGACGAAGCTCCCTTGCAAGCCTCTCCATCAAGGGTTTTGGTGGAAATTCTGCGACAACAAATCTACATTAAGTACAAAGGAGCCACTTGTTCCAAATATTTACTCGAATACACATGTATTAACCTAACTACAGCAATATGAATTGGGGTTGGGGGGAGGGTGGGGAGTTGGAATTCACTCACGAATACAATATATAGACCTCATTTGAGGTTTGAACTAAACAGTACCTCTTTGAAAAAGGTTAAACAGATGCCATTGATAGGAGCATAGAGATGAAAGACTAGTTCATAAACAAATATCTGTTTTTTTTTTTTTTCCCTTTTGGCAGGAGGAGGAAGAAGAAAAATTTCCAAGTCTCACCCGCAATATTGGGATCTAAATCAGCACCGTCTGCGGAAGCTGCTGCACTTGAAACCCTTGGAAACTGGATTACACCAGCCACTTTTGACAGCTCATGTTTATTGATATTAGGCAGAGAGAAACGCCTTACAACCTTTATGGTTTCCCCAATAATATAAATCTTAAAGAGAAGGCCACCTGCAATGTCAAAGCTCCCTCACTAAATTACAATGTAAATAAAATTAACCATATAATGAAGACTTGGGCATCAGTTTACAAACCGTGATTGACAAACTCTTGCAAAATTAAAGGAGGATCAAGCGATGAGAGAGAGAACTCATCATAAGCAAGAAATAGTTCATGTGACTTAGCACTGCCATCCACAACTAAAGGTTTTACAACTGAAAATGACAAATGAACAAGTAAATATTTTAAAATCTATATCAGGGCAACAGATGACAGTAAATCTGAAAATACCCAAAAATAATAAGTCAGAACAACTAGGAAATTCTGCATGCCAACTAACTACAAGTATTCTTTGGTTCATTAGACACATCTAAGAAGGCGATTAGTTGGCAGAATAAACCAAGTCCCATAGAAACTTATTCAAATACGCAAATTTATTCTCATGCAACATTCAAAATCAAGCAGTTGAGATATTGGTTGAATTCACACTATACCCAAGGTCAAATTAACTAATTACCATGCTCCATTGCTAGAACTAAAGTAGTGATCCAAAAAGGAAAAAAACAAACACAGGGCGAAAGATATATACCCAGTGGCAATTTCATTCCAGCTTTAGCAATTTCGTAAGGAATGGATGACCGGTCTTTTGTGATAACCAAGTGCCGGGGAATGCCAACTTTGCCTGCAGATAAGCAGTTGATGAAAATACAAATGGTCAAAATATGGCGCAGGCCTAGTTTACCAAGTAAAGAATACAGATTCAACTAACAACGCAAAAGGCAATAAACTTGTTCCTACATTTCTGCTATATGCTATAATAATTCAAGGCGTACGTAACTCTACACAAAATTCTATTGAAATTATAGTAGTTTTGACTTTTCAAAAACAATTCATGTAAAGAATCCCAAGCATTAGGGATGAAAAGTTCTAATTTCCATCATTTAAAGCAAACATGTTACCATTGCAGTCAGACAAGTTTAAATCTGCCACAACTTGTTGCATGGACTGGCGATTTTCTAAATGTTGAATTGCACCTGGAGGATCAACGATGACAACTTCAGGGTGATTTTTCCTGTAGTCCTTCAAAAAACAATTATAAAAGGGTAAAATTAGCCATCCCATTACAACAGAGGTGTAAAAGACTACATGGAAAGCATGTGACAACAAATATAAATTGGTTTGCTTTTGGTAAGCTAGCGAACAACGCATCACAAAAATGGTTTAATACCCAGGCCAACTACACTGTTAAGCAAACTTTCTTCAGATGACAGAAGAAGCAGGGAAGAGAACTTTCATTGACAGCTTGAAGAGATTTCTCCATATCATTGACAGTCAATTTGTGAATACGTGAACGACAAATACTTCATTCAGTAGTTTTCATCTTTACACCTCACATTAATTCATGTCTCCAGAATTCTGGAATCCAGATAATTACCACAGACAATTGCGTTTCACTTGCAGCATTTTCTGCTGCTAAACTATAATCTCATTTATTCTTTATCTACAGAGAATGAAAATGGACAGAGTTGTGCTATGTATCTTACAAGAAGGAAGTTCTATTTTGCCTTATTCTTACCAACCAAGAATATGAACTGAAACATTCCACCACATCAGGGAGGAGGGGATTAAATATATATATATATATATAATATTAAAGAAGCATTTTTACAGAAACAAACATAATAGAATGTGTAAAGGCTGACCAATCAATCACCATTTATTCCATAGAGAAATCTAACCAACTATCAACTTCCCTAACTCTCTTCAGATCAAAGAAGCACCTTTATTCCCTCATTCCAGGATGGTAAGGACAACCTGATTGATGTTCACGAGTGAACCCAAGGGATCTATTCAGAATTGGGGAAAATCTTTGCACTGTTAAAAAGAGAGCACTTCGTATACTATCATGAGATTTCTTTTTCTTTCCCCAGATGACAATCAAGATGGTGAGCTATTGCTGCCAATAGAACTAGCCATATTCCTCTTTCAAAACATCACTGGACATCAATTTCCCATATATTTTTCCTGTTTGTAGTTATTTAACTGATTACTTTTAGATAGAGGATTAGGATCCAAGGAATGTCTCTCTCTCTTCTCTTACTTCTGAAACATGTCAGCTTAGAGAAGCCCTGAATGTCCAAACAATTAGTTTCAAAAGTACCTCATTTTAAAATGTGTATATATATATATGTTATCTTATGAGTCACGTAGTGCTTCCAAAAATATACGGGCAGCATTAGACTTATTCTGAGTTTCTCCAGCCAAAAATTATCATGCGGATCCTTGTAAGAGGACTGCTCAAAAGACCAGTAGCAAAATTTTTTCTCCTATCACTTGTAATTTATTAGATTTAAAGGTATTTCTCAAAAGCAAAAAGCTGATTTGGTTTATTAGTTACTGCGCTTTCTGAAGGACAGAAAACCGTCCACTTCTTGAACCACAAGTTCCCATCTCCATTTAACAATATTTTCATGTGAATGGAAATTTACAATTATCAGCTCAAACAACAATTGGCATTAACCTTGATATGTAACATTAAGCGTAAAACGCATTTGCTAAATTCCCTAATTTGATGACAAAATGAATATCCTCAAGTTCGCTTTGTACTAAGTAGAGACAGTACTTATTAAATGCACTTTTCAATCATTTAAAATTAAGTAAGATATTAAGCTTTGTCGAGAAATATAATCATTATGGTCATGCCAAAAAATTGTGAAGCATATTATAAGGTTAGGGGCAAATTAAATGGAAGAAAGTATTACTATAATATTTATTTCTTAAAAAAAATTATTGTATGAGTACCTTCTTCAAACAGCATTTTCAACCACAAAATGATGCAGTAAAGGCAAAAAGAAAAAAGGTAAAATAATTTCTTCTTCTGGCAACTAAGTTCACCAATGTCTTATCAATATTTCAATTAATCTTAAAATGTTAATTCTCACTTGTTTAAATTATTGAGAGACTGATTTCTACTATCTGATCACCATTCATGATGAGGAGAGCAAGAACTCTGCAAATTATGCCAGACAAAAATAACTTTTTTTAGAACTCAGGATTTAGCTCTTCAGCCAATCTCTGTCATTTTATGCTTCATTCCCAGCTTTAGTAGATGCCAGTGACTTTGAACAATAGCGTGCTAGATGACACAACATTGCAGGATTACTTGTACAATGCGAAAGTTGAGAGAAGTATTTTGGTGTTCACAAACCTCAATAACTTCACGCCACTCCTTCCCTGACAGCTGAAAAGAACACAGCCTATCAGCCTATATTAAAGAATACAGAAATAGAAATAAGTTCATTTCATAATTTAGAACAGATTATCAGGAACAAGAAAAGGCAAAGAAGATGATAATCCAACCAGTAGACAAAAGGACCCTGGATAAAGACATTTACAATTTACAAGGTAGTGATGGTACAATTTTGAAGGAAATAACACCTTATGCAAAACAATGTCAAAGGGACCTTGGTCTGACAATGGCTTGTTTAGATCAATGGAAACAAAAGATATCCCCTTACTCCTGCATCATAGATCACAAAATTTTCAGGATCAGTATTTGGAGGTCTCAAGTTAGAACAAAGTATTGACACTTCAAGACAATTCATCAATGAATTTTTGTTTTAGGTAAACATGTTCCAGAGTAACCTGTACGCATAAATTAAAAGCCAAAGACTCAATTATTAATTAAATTAAATGAACTAAAAAGAGACATAAAAGAAGAAACCATTTCCTGTAATTAATAATTATAATTCCAAATTAGGACCAATGTTTTCTTGAACAGAACACAAAAATGTGGATTAGGATGCCAGAAAACAACATATCAGACGAGTAAGGATGGTTTTTAATTAGAATAATTTGATCTAAGAACAAAGAACAAAGTATTAAAATTTGACTTTGGATTCTCGTTGTGGACTAATCCAAAGGGCATATATGGTGGAATATTCTCATTTAAATTAGAGCGCAGAAAAGACCAAGATGTCAGATACCAAGAAGCGAATCAATGTGGGTTTCGGCTCGCGAAAGTGATAGCCAGTGTACAAAATAACTCCACCACCATCGACAGAGACACTACCTGTGTCCCCCCACCTCTGCAAAAGCCGCTTTAGCGTAGGAAACAATCAAAACTAAAAAACACAAAATCCTTTGGCAATCCATTTCTGGAAGTTAATAAGAAAACTTCAATATTACATAAATATCGGAGCATCAACAGTCAGACTTTTCCTTGTATGGTGAAAAAGGTGTGATGAACAAGGTAAATACCAGGCAAGACTAACAAACTTCGGCTTTAAAAAGCTCTTCTTCTTCTTGGACGTCAAGGCATACCCAACCACCAGTGTCTGTGGCTGTGGAGACCCGCCACCGCAGATTGAATGCCCCATTGAATTCACTTCTTTCTCCTTAATCTCCTCCCCTACTTCAGGGGGGATTTCTCCGTCAAACCTCATGCTCGCACTTCCCAAGAATCCTAGAGAAAGAACAAATCCTTCCGTCTTCCACGTCTACGTTTTCAATTCTCTTGTATTCTACCTCACCACGATAAAACTGGCCAAAAAGATCAACCAATAAGGAAACGAGGAATAGCAAATCACACAAGAAATGGGATCCCTCGAACGGATATTCTTATGGAATTTGAACCAAAGGGCATCTTTATATCTTCATGAGCACTATGTATCCCTCTGCAAGAGGATTTAAAAGTTAAAACTAAAGACCAGATGAGGAATATTGAGGTGTCTGTCCAGAGAGAATCTGGCCCCACAGGTTTGTGTATATGAGGGAACATGTAAGTGAGAGCAGGGGGAAAGAAAGAGAGGGAGCGAGAGTGGATGGATTTTGGGGGGAATATTCAGTTTGCAGAGAGGAATAGGATTGAGTCTTGCGGTGAAGATAGTGATATATAAACACTGATAGTGAAGGGATGGGATGAGACTGGTTGAAGGCCTGAAGCCGCGCTGGCTTACTCCTCACTCCCTAGCCATATCTTCTTTTACCATTTTGCCCTTTTGTTTTGTGAATTTATTATCATTTATAAATCATTTCTAACTTGTTGCATCAAAATCACATAAAAGCTTAAAATTAATTAATTATATTTAAAATTTCAATAATTTTTTAAATTACTAATGTTAAATATGCATATTTTATCAGGGAAAAAAATGCATATTTTAAAATATATTTTTTCTTACCAACATTCAATAAAGAAGAAAAGGGAAAACTTGAAATACAAATTAAATAACATGATTTATAAATAAGATAAAAATATTTTATCTGCTATATAAATAGGATCCAGGAAAGTATATTAAAATAGAATTTCTTGTTTTAGGGTGTTTTGCCTTCCTATATTAAATTAAAAATATATATAGTTTTTAATTTTTTGCTACATAAATAATATATATATATATATATATATGATAATTTAGTGATGATTCTATAAATTAATTTCATTCAGTCGGTTTAAAATATCAAAAATAAATTACCTTGAGAAAGCATGAAATGAAAAATATAAAAATCATTAATGGTAACAATTTTTAAAGTGTGAGTTTTTATTTTTAAAATGATTAATTTTTTTAAAAATTTTACTCATAACCTAACTCTTTTTCATATAAAAGAGAAACACATACACCCATATATGCACACAATATATGTCAATATTGGGTTCAAACTCATGCCTTTTTAAAATGATTAATTATCATAGTATAATGACTCATTCAATACATAAAACTAAAAATCATATTAGGAAAAAAATAATTTTGAGAATATAAATAATATTCAAAAAATAATAAAAACCATCAAGTATCAATCAAGTAATGATTATAGAAACAAAATAAAAAATAAAATAAAATACTCCATCTATTTCAAAATATGATTATTTTTTATGAAGTAATATGTTTAAAAATATAAGGCGTTTTATGTTTTTTAATATACAGTTAATTATTTTAAAAAAAATCTTTTATTAGGAGGTTTAATTAATAATTTTTTAAATTAAGAAATTATATTAAATAAAAATAAATATAAAAAAGTATATAATTTTAAACACAATTAACTAACACATTAAAAAATATAATTCAATTAAAAGTTTCTTATAACATTAGACGGACAAGTAATTTATACTTAAGAGTTACTATCATGTTTCAACCATATGGAGGGCAAGGGTGTCATTGTCCAGGATTTCAAATAATATTATTGTCATCTCGAATGAGATACAGTAAATTATATGCCACATTTCATATTTTGAAAGCAACGTTTAGGTGCTGCCAAAAAAAAAAAAACAACTTGTATGCAAAAAGGGAGAAAATAGAAAAGAATTAGGAAATTTCTTGATATTTGAGTTTGAACAATAATTTAAAAATTAAATCCGATGATCCACTGAAGTTGTTAACAACTCAATTTCAACTAAAAAACTGCTTTTATTATTGAGCCGAATTAGACTAGAGTTGAGCCACTTTTGAATTGGAAACTAGAGCAATCTTTAAAAAATCAAACGATTTTAAACATAATATTAAAAAAATTCAAAATTTTAAAAATTAAATTATATTAAAAGCTAACTTTATTTTTAAATAATTCACATGTATAAAATATTATTTGAAATTATTTTTTTATAAAGATGTTGATAATTATAAATATAAATGCAAATGATACTTTTAAATTTACTCATATCTCATTTAATCAAAATTTATCTATATTTGATGAGTTATAAAATTATAATATATAATATTATTAATTTATGATCACATTATGTTATTTTATTAACATATTATAAATTTTTTCTTATATTATTTTACATATACATTTAATATAAATTATTATATCATCAGCCCAATTGTTGATCTAATATGTTAAATCATGAAAATTAAGAACCGCTAAGTTTTCTAATTCAATATCTTGTCCAACTTTTAAGACATTGAGTTTGAAAGCAAGTTAATGTATTTATTTATGTATGGATTGATGGGTTTAAATTATAATTAACCGTCCAGCTTAAAATTATCTGGAGTGAACAAACAGCGAGGAATATTTGGAATGTATACTCAGAATATGCTTAGAGTTATGCCAAGTAAATGCGTGATTTTGGGGATCAAACTTCTCTTCACTCGCCACTTGTTCTTTTAATTTACGTTGACGTTGAGACTCAGTCACACAAAACAAAATAAATTTCTGATGTTGAGACGTTTCCTCATTGACGATAATTCAGTTGCCAAGGTTGCCAAGATTAAAGAATTTATTATGTGAATGAAACATTTCATTAATGGTGATTCAATCGAATTGAATATATTCCATGTTTTTAAATAAGATCGTTTAAATATCATAAATGCAAAAAAAAAAAAAAAAAAACTGAAGAGCTTCTTAAAAAGGATAAAGCAACTTTTAGTATTTTATATTAGGGGTTTTGTCTATTTGGTCTTCAACTTTAATTTCAATTATTTTAGTCTTTTAACGTTTCATAAATTTATCTAAGTAGTTATTAATCTTGTGAAAAAAAATAACACTGTTAAGTTAACAGAAAAATGATATAGCAGTCACGTAAATTAATAATATGGAGAAAAAGTGAGCTGACTTGGATAATAAAAAATCATTTTTGGGAAATAAAAACGAAACTATCATCTCTCTCAAACGCAGTCTGATAGCGTGAGGCCATGAAATCTACTCCAAGGGCAAAAGGAGAAACAAAGAGGACGGACTGAACAAAGATTCTAAAGAATAATGTTGAGGCAATGAGAGAAGGATAGCAAAATTGTGAAGCTTTTTGTAAATAGAGAAGAATGAAAAATAGTCAAATGGTGAAGCCTTTTGTATTTCAAACTTTGAAGCTCTGGACGTTAAGCCTTAACCTCAAAGCTGTAGGAGAGAGGCGTTTAGCCTTTCACAATCACCCATTCAAAAACCGTAACTCGGCAGCCATTGCAAGAATCAACCTGGCCTGATCAACCAATGGACACTCAATTGAGTTGGAAAGGACTACAATCAACATTATTTAATATAAGTGTTCGAATCTTAAAAAATGACAAACATAATAATTAATAATTAACGTAACTTCAAAGAAATCATTCCATTGATAACTCATTACTATCATAAATTCTCCTCATGAGAGATCTGGATAGTCTGGAGCGGGTAATAAGCTGAAAATATTCTAGAATATCAAATAGTTTATACCAAAAAGCAAAATCATCTTACCCTGTACCATTGATCTCAAGTCTTCCTTCATGGTTGTCCCAAGCCATCAGCTGTTAAAGCTTCTGAATATGCCATATAATAAATTATAATGGTAAATTAAGAATTATAAATTAATAAAATAAATGACAGATCAACAATTAGAACATGACAAATTTAGCACATATATTTTATTTAATTACATTCCAAGTTAATAATTGAATTTTCACATTAGGTTTTTTATGGCTATTTTGTCCAGCAAAACTTAAGAATAACTTGATGATTGTAGCTAACATTTTTTTTTTTTTGTTGGACAAGACTATAGCTAACATCAAGGATTGAAATGATAGAAATTAAAGTCAAGATGCCAAATTGACAAAACCTCCAAACACAAAGGACTAAATTTTTTTTTTATTCTTTCTTAAAATTAGACCTAATGTTTGTATCAAAATATTACTCCCTCCCTATATGTAAGCAAATTTAGTACTATAAGAAAGTTGGTTAAGTTGGAAATCAAAAAAATTGAATTAAAATGTCATTGTAATTAATCTTTAGCATGTTAAGGAATCGAACATGTCTAGTGAAAATAAACTCTAATTTTATGAGAAATAACTTAAAGAAAATGCAATACATATTTCTTGAATTTTGTAATTTTGCTCCTACAAAAACAATGAAACATATATATTTCTTGTATAATAAAAAATGAGAGTATATTGACAATGGTTAGATCAAGTATGTTAAAAATGAGAGCGTATAAATAATTAATAATAAAAATATATTTCTTATATAATATTGAAGGTTTGAAACTTATAGTTAAAACAAAATCATTTCAGAAGAGCTATCCCACTTAAAGCCAATAAGTTATAGCATATATAGAATAAGTTATTTTAATTTTTATTATTAATTAAAAATATTTTTAATAGAATTGATAAAAATTTTAAGATAAAAAATCATTTATAAAACTTAAAATATTAAAAATAAAAAAATCATTTTGATGATTATCAATATGTTAACTTTGAAAATTTTCAATGATAAATTTTTCCAAAAATTCAAGGGAAAAGAAGCTTTGGAAATAATATATAAAAAGGAAAAATTCAAGACATATGTATTTTTTATAGATTATTTATTTCATAACAAGCTTGTTATTAATATTATTAACATATTAAAATTTACTTGTTTTTATTTGATTAGATAAAAATATATTAAGTATATAAAGGTAAATATTTAAGTCTTCTTGTACTATAAAAAAAATTCATGCTTCCATAATTTAGAAGAATGGTTGATGAAAAGAGAACGAAAAATTTAATAATATATTTATATTTTTATCTACTATTACTAATGAAGATAAAGAGAGATAAATAAAAATGATTGATGTTCAATAATTTTTTTTAAAATTAAGTGAAAAGGGCAACAAAAGCAAGCATAAGAAATGAGGTTGATCCAAAAAAAAAAGAGTATAATGGCCCGTTTGGTTCATTGAATAAGAGAAAATGTACTACAATGTAAAAGTAGGGAATGGAATGGAATAATAATTACATGTGTTTATTTGGTATGCTATAAGATGAATACATTTTTTCTAAGAAAACAATAACAAAAGAATCATGAAATGTCCTTTTTACCCCTAACCACAAAAAAATCTCACCCATCTTCCTCTCTTTCCTAGTGATGGCTCTTCGGCAGCATCACCCTCAATCTAGAAAATCAACCCCTTATACCAGTACAGATCACATAAATCAACATAATCA